AGTCCCTTTCCAAATAACAGAAAATGGAGAGACACTGAGATATCAAAATATTCAATGTTAATGCCCGTTCTAGATGGATTTTGAATTAAACCAATACCCGTTTTCTAAACAAGCGTGCTTCATCAATGGTTTTGTTTTGAAGGAGGAAATTACTTCATTAAAAATAAACATATATTCCTTCCTTAAGACTGGACTCGAGTGCTACAGCGCTGCTTTTAACCTTAATTGACTATTCACTAGATGAATTAGCGTCTGTGTTGCACTTTCTATAACAATTTAATGTTTTTGTATCACTTGTAATACGTCAATGTAAGCTAGCCTATACTTTTCCTGTTCCTGTAGTTTCACCTTTGCTCTAACTCTTGTTTATGTTCAGTAAGTATGTAAGTTCTCATTAAATTTGATTCAGTACAGTTTTCACAGTTGCTTCCAGTAAAAAAAACTTCAAAGACAAACTGCTGTCTTCAACATTTACTGGAAGTGTGTTTTAGCTCGCTGCATAGCTGTGCACCTACGCACATAGTGGGGGCAGAAGAAATTGATTTGTACCAACAAATACACACCTTGTCATGTGTTTCTGTGAGAGAGCGATGGCATATTCGGCCACCACTGTTTTGCCAGCTGATGTGTGCGCGGCTACAAACACGGAGTCGTGAGCCTCCAGCCTCAGCACAGCCTGCTTCTGGAAGACATCCAGCTCAAACGGCCACTGGAGCAGAGGAGGGCAGAGACACAGATCAGTTATCACAGGATGCTTTTTATGTGATGATTCATCGCAGAGAAACACATAGACAACAAATGAATAGGGAGGGAGGTGTGACGATTACAAGATTGCACAAACAGTGCAAGTGTATTGCTAGAATACCCACCTTGAAAGCTGGGTTGGGGATGCGTTTGTAGAAATCATCGCAGGGTGAAGTTATGTTGACAGGGATGGCCCATTTCTTATTTTCCACTGGGTTTTCTTTTGGCTTTGATTTCTCATCTTTTCCTTTCTCTGGGGGAGATGAGGATGACACAGCATTCTGAAGACAGAGGAAGAGATCCAGATTTCAGTGCAGTTAATGTTTAGCCTAGAGGCCTAATTGGAGTCCAGGTTGTTTTTATTACAGTATTACTGTGGTTTGGAAAAGGTAAGACTGCATTAAATTCTACAATTTAAGTAACGTAACACACAATTCCCCTACTCCACCTACATTTTTACAGTGAAAAACAAAAAGAAACAAACAAGTCGCAGTACCTTGATGACCAGGTCTTCAAGGCTGTTTGTTCTGGGTAGTTTGGGAGCTTCTTCAACTCTTTTGCCTTCCTCTTTCTCCTCTTCCTCAGGTTGCAAAGCAGTAATGTCATCCAGTGCGGACAGGAGGGACATGAGGTTGACCTCTGCCTTTGCAATCTTGGCATCTTCAGGATACAAATTTTTAAAAAGTAAAAGATTATATAATGATCATTTAACCCCTGTGGGATTTTTGCATAGGAAAGTAGGATATCTAACCTTTGTCAGTGAAGTCCATCCCAGCTTTAAGTCCAGGTGGGACTCTGAGTAAATCTATGAGGGAAAGATATTAGCTGAAGTAACAACAGACGTTTCACAATTATTTCAACCCTACAAGTCAAAATTTAAAATTCACCATTCTCAAAGTCGACATCCTCCTCCAGCTCAGATTTCTTCTTGATTTGGTCCAGACTAAGCTCCTCCATTCCTCCTGTTAAATGGATATTGGAAGATTACAGGGACAAAGTGAAAACACCTCACTTGCAAACATCTCAACTACTGGAAGACTACGTAAATTATTGAAGAGAAAATGCTTTGAATTAGTCTCACCGGGGAGAAAGGGGTAGTTGGTGTTGCTTCCTCGAAGGCTCTCTGAAGGGGGCCCGGGTTGGCGTTGAAATGAAAGTGAGTTCTTTGCTGACAGGCCAGTGTTCTCCAGTAAAACCTAAAGTTTCATTAAAGACGCAACAGACCTGAAAGTAGCTGAATTAACCTTTACTTTGCTTTAAGTAACAAAATTGGCACTTTCTCTCGAGTTATACCACAACAGCTTCTTCTCAGTAAGAGACAATTTAATTTAGTTTAGTGTTTAAAACAGGATGAGGACTGCAAGAGTGGATTAAAAGTTTATGTCTGTAAAATATCATAAAATAGTAAAAAAAAAAAATGCCCATCACAATTTTCCAAAGTGGAAACATATTGAAATTCCTTTTTTTGAACTGACAGCCCAAAACCCAAATATATTGAGTTTGAGTGAGCACATCTGAGATGCTAAAACATGGAAATCTTTGTAATTTTTGCATCAAATACAACTAAAAAATGTTGCAGATTAAAATTCTGTCAATCAGCGAATCAATTTAAATAATAACAGTGCAGAGGGAAGAGTGGGCCGGTGGGTTTGTGAGCTACCTCTGTGAAGTCCAGCAGCATCCCTGTGGTTGGATCTCTGACGACAGAGAGACCAGAGTGGAGCGAAGACGGAGTGCAGTTGAGCAGAGAGTCGACATTAACTTCTCTCTGAGTCACCCTGGTGAAGACATCAACACAAGAGTTACATCTTCATATAGATACATACAGTCATTTCAAAAATTAAATGACTCAGATTAATCAGTGCTATCTGAAAATGTTTACTTTATCAGCATTGGATTCGTTATAATTCTGTTATTTGTTGTTTTAACACCAGATAATGTTGTAATGCTATCATCTGAAGTATTTGTCATGGAGCTAATAACTTTCATGATCAAACTGATTTAATGAAGAAACATGAAACATTAAAGGACCAGTGTGTATGAGTTAGTGGCATCTGGTGGTGGAGTTGCAGATTGCAACCACTGGAATACAGCTCAGCCTTCCAAACCTGTAGGAGAAACTTTGGTGGCCGTAAAACTAGTGATGTGGATCCCACTGCTTTTCATGGCAGGACACGCCCTGCATAGCATTCAAGCGCTATGATTGGCCAGGTATCCATGCTCGTGTGAGTGGGAGGTTTTTCCAAACCATTACCTAAACCTAACCAAGATTTTTTGTTCCCTAAACAGCGACGGAAAACTGAAGCTCCTTAACAAAGTAACTAAATTATACAGTAAGTCTAAAAATATATATAACAGAGTAGCCAAACCGTGAGTCCTGTACTTAACCCATTCATCCACCGCTACTTTCTTTCTGAAGTTGGACTTTCTGGCACTATTTATACTATGTATAAAGTGTTACTTCACAAGCTTCATAGGACTGAATTCAGGGACTGAATGCTACGTGTCTTGGCAAGAAAAGCATGTTCTCAAAATACTGTTTATTATTTAACTAGCAATAATAAGATTGTTTACAGAAATACGTACTTGAGAAACCTCTGGAAGGCAAAGTCTGTGTCGTGTATAGGAAGCCAGGAAGGGTCCCGTAAAAACTGCTTCTCTACTTCTGTATCCAGGCTCAGGCTGGTGGGAGGAAGCCCGTGGGGGAGCTGTGGAGGGACAGATAAGATCAGATATACAGTAAATTCAATCTATCTATCTCTCTATCTCTCTATCTATCTATCTATCCATCAAACATCTATCAATTAAACATCTTTAAACAAATGTAACACATTTGAACAAAACATGTAAATGTGAATATGTCAATTATTATTTTAATTTTAATTTTAACGATTTTTTAACATGTGAAAACATTTATTTTTAACCACAAAAAAGTAGTATAAATAACAAAAGTGCTGCAGAAAAAATGCCTCTGTAAATCTTGTGTTATATTACTGTATCATCAATACAGAAAATGTGGAAGCAGCATTTATAGTTACTTGACATATTGTTGGATAGTTGAAGCTATAACAATGCATCATATGCTGTCAGACAAGTGTAGTAAACCGTAGGGGTGTAGGAAAATATCAGAAATATTGCATTATTATTAAACCCTAAACCACTGGATTAGACTACTGTTGTAAACGTAAAGTGAGTGCTATGGTGTTGAATGTTACAGGGAAGGTGATCCCAATGTTGTGGTTGCACA